TAACTATTTTATAGTATTTAATTTATCTTATATTAACATTTATTTCAAGATATTTATATAATTCATATATTTATACAAATAAATTATTAATATATAAAAATTTTATGATGTATTGTGATCTTAGCTACTATTCTATAATTTACAATATATTCCTATCCTATCCTATAAAGAATTGCAATTAATTTTGATAACTTTGGGGAAAAAATTGTTTTGAAACAAAATGAAAAATGGATTTTTTAAAAACATTTTTATTGTTTATACTGATAGATTTTGTTGTAAGATTTAGAATATACTTTATTATAAATAGATTTTATGACTAATTTTTATTACTCAGATTGTTTAAATAAGAGTATTTTTGTCATTTTATCATGTGTGTTATTGTCAAGCCTTAGCATTTTTCTTTTTTTTGGGGATAAATTCCGCTAAGAACAACTAAGACTTAATTAGCATTAAAATGACGTAAGATTCCTATACAAATCCTCCCTTCATACAAAAATTTCGCTACGTCATTGTATATGCATAGATGACTTAATGACTGCATTTATTCCAATCGGAGTGTGAGGGGTCCTGCGCACGGACGTAAATATTTCTCCCCTAGTGGGCTCAATATTATTCCAACATCATAAATTTTTTTGGCCGACAACGTTTCAATTAGTCAATGATATATGCACCTGCAACTTTAGTTGCATTGGTTTGAGTACACCTAATTCTTGGTCTCGGTCAAAATTTAAGCTGTAATATTTTCTCTCTTTCTTCGAAATTTCGCCTCTGTTCAAAACAAATAAAAAGTCAATGATATATCAGGAGAGGTCATTTAGCCAACTTAACGACACGTAGCTTCTTATATGCGAACATTCATCAAACCTCATACATGAGACAAATTTGGGTAGAAGTTAACATTCACATCAAGGAGAGATGATTAAACATGGTGGGTTTTGACTTTGTCGTTCCAAATGCCTTTTTGGGGGCCTTGAGTAGCATGTCCGTGAACAAAGTCCCTTGTTTTCTTTATGGCCTTTATATATATATATATATATATATATGTATAATAAGGGAAAATATAAATGTATGTTATTAATTTCACTTGTATTTTTACAATTTAAATATAAAATCTCTAAGGTTATTTAGAGAAAATATTACTGTTAAACTGCTTAAATCATTGACTATTTGTGGCCATTTAATTAGCAAAGTATGTATGTATTTTTTCTTATGAGAAGAAAAGTATGTATGTTATGCTATATATATACATTATGCCAATCTTCTTCTCATCTCCATAAATCATTCTCTTGATTTTTATATTCCAACAAAAAACATACCAATTAATTGAGATGTTGAGAACTCTTGAGTAAAGCAATGGTAACTCTCTACATAAGAGTTCTCACTGAACTCATGATCGAGTTTTTCCCATTTTTCTTCTCCCAAATATAACCTTGTTTACAATAAATAAATAAATAAATAACAGAGATGTTAATTCCGAAGAACAATTATATAGTGAGTGAAGGTAAAGAAACCTCTCCTTCAAAAAAACCTCTCCTTCAAAAAGCAATCTTTTCTAACTTTTATCAAACCTTATGCTATATAATTTTTAAAAATCTCATCTAAGGAGAAATTTGACTTAAATATAATATAAATATATATTAATACGTAATACTGTTTAAAGTGTAGATCATGATCTGCTTAATTAATTGCGAGATAATTGACAAAGTATGTATGTAATGCTGTAGATGGTGGGGTTTTGACTGTCCTTCCCAATGCTCTTTTGGGGGCCATGAGGAGTATGTGAGGTGGACAAATGATTGAAAAATGATTTTGTAATAGAATTTTATACATTATTTAATAATTGAATCATTTTATTTTAATAAAACTTGTAGTATCGTATATATTTTCATTTAATAATATATTACAATTTTAAAAAATTATCTATATGTCATTACTAATATAATATACAAATGGCTGTGATATTGATAGTGTCGTGAAACAAAATTGATCTTTGTTTTCCCTGTGGCGATTTGTTTTAGCAATAAGAGATATCCTCTCTTAATTTTTTATCTATTTCATCAATATGTCTAGGACTTAAATATAAGATTATTTTATGTCTTTAGAATACAATTATTTTAAGAACACTTAGACCGTTCGCAATAAGTTGAGTTGGTGAACCATCTATTTAAACAAATATGTCAAGAATTTACTATCTTTTTCAAAAGGTTAAATTCTCAATTTGGTCCCTAAACTATTATATAAATCTAGGATTTGATCCCTAAATTAAAAAAATTTTTGATTTGATCCCTAAACTATTGTGCGACCCTCGATTTGATTCTTACTGTTTACCAATTTGCCCCAAATTAGTCCTTCCGTATAACAAAAAACTGACGTGTCTAATATTTAATGAAGAAAAATAGTTACTTAACGATAGAAAATAATAACTTAACGGTCACGCGTCACGTTAATAACAAGACACGTCAACTGTTTTAGTATAGAAAGACCAACTTGCAGCAAATTGGTAAATAGTAGGGACTAAATTGGGGATTCGTACAATAATTTAGGGATCAAATTAAAGATTTTTTTAGTTCAGAGACAAAATCAACGATCTGTACAATAATTTGAGGACCAAATTAAGGATTTAACCTTTTCCAAAATGCGGCCGAGATGCATTTATCAAGTGTTTTGATATTGTCTTCTTTGATCGTTTGGATCATGAAAAAGTACTACATTAGTTAGTACTGATTAGCTATGTTAAATTAATGCGCAATCAACGAGTAAAGTAAGACTTTCAACCATCCACAAATAAAAAATAATTAATAATTTAAGGGCCCAAAAATTCAACTTCGGCTTTTTCTTCTCTTTATAAATAGCACCATTTACCAATTCATTCAATTTGTCCTTCTCAGTCCTCAACTTTCTTGTTATAGATAATATTATACTAAGTTAGCATGGAGGCTGCTAGGCTTGGGCTCCCACCAGGAGGTATTAGGCGCGTGTTCGGACCAAGAGCTATGACAGCTAAAGGGATTTCCACGGGCTGCATCAGTACCTCCAGTGCGAAATGTGTCCAAGAAATGCCGATCATTGAACCGGGTCAAAATTCCGCACCACTTCTGGCTAGGGATGTGCTTGAGAAAAATTATGAGTTCAGATACAACATGAGGATTACAGGCCCCTATTATAAGCAAACTATTACTGGCATGAAGCCCTTTTTTCAAGACCACGGTTTGGTGCCGGGGGATCTGATTACTATATACAAGATGAATGATGAGGCATTAATTTACTATATACACTTCCAGAGAGCGTAATTTCCCAGGTAAAGGTGTTGGAAACCTACTGGTCTTGGGTAGGCAGATGAGAACTATATTTGTATTACTCTGTTGACTTCTGACTTTATTTATTCCAAGCTTGCCGTGTATCCTCAGAGATATGAGTAATATATTGTGCATTTTTCCTTTTTGGAACATTTTTTCCTGTAAGTGAGCTTTCTGTCCTGGGTCTTTTTCTGTTTTTTGCCCTGAAATCCTAATTGCAGAATAGAAACGAATATGTCATCATGAGGAGAAACAAACTCAGTGCTTGATCTGGGCGTCCCTAGATATACTTTTGGTTATATGTTCAATTATTTATTAACATGGTTAAATCTAACTATATTTTTTTTTTACGGTAAAAACACAATTTTATTAATATATTGAGTATAAGAAGTACTCAAACTCATAATAAATTACACTAAAAAACCAGCCATTTATTAATGCTCCCTTTTTTCACACCATGGTTAAATCTAACTAGTTAAAACAGAAATAATTCTTAAATTTTTAATTTTAACTTTCAATATCCTTATAATTTTTTCTTTTGCTGGTAAATCTCTTAACAATGATATATAGATCAGGTTTTTTTTTTGAACAGCAATAGATATAAAGGTCAGGTTTGCCTTTCTCTTTTCTTATTTTTTCTTGATTGTGTAAATTTTCGTGCCAATAGATAACCTTATCATAATTGATTATTACTGACTAATTATAAATATTACATAATAGTTAATGATGCAAAGATAAAAATACCTATGTACTAGACAAAAATGAAGATAGACCTAAATGTAAGAAGGAACCTTCTTAACGCGTTCGAGCTTTGACTCCTTTTAACATAGCAAGGTCGTTTGACGTAATGGAGATCAAAGATCAAGCTCAAATTTGATTTTGGCTTATTAATTATAATTAACAGCTCATTCACAGTCCACTTACTAGAATGCTAAGACATTTCAAAGTACTTAGCATATGAGATGGAGTCTTACGAGGCACCGATGACGTTACTTTTTTGGGTAACACTAACACTTAGGTGATTGGGTGGAGGAAACCTCTCCAATGGCACACGTAGGTAACACTTGGCAAAATATTATCCCATGGAAGATATACTTTTTTTTTTCTTTTAAACCTTGTTGAAGACATTCTTAGCAATACCGCCAATACGATACTAGCACTTTACAATGTTTCCTGTCTTTTTTTTTTTTTTTTTTTTTTT